ACTGACTGTATAATACTGTCTAGGTACTATACTGACTGTATAATACTGTCTAGGTACTATACTGACTGTATAATACTGTCTAGGTACTATACTGACTGTATAATACTGTCTAGGTACTATACTGACTGTATAATACTGTCTAGGTACTATACTGACTGTATATTACTGTCTAGGTACTATACTGACTGTATAATATTGTCTAGGTACTATACTGAATGTATACTACTGTCTAGGTACTACACTGACTGTATATTACTGTATGGGTACTATACTGACTGCATAATACTGTCTAGGTACTACACTGACTGTATAATACTGTCTAGGTACTATACTGACTGTATAATAATGTCTAGGTACTACACTGACTGTATAATACTGTCTAGGTACAACACTGACTGTATACTACTGTCTTGGTACTACACTGACTGTATAATACTGTCTAGGTACTATACTGACTGTATAATACTGTCTACGTACAATACTGACTGTATAATACTGTCTGGGTACTATACTGACTGTATATTACTGTCTAGGTACTACACTGACTGTATAATACTGTCTGGGTACTATACTGACTGTATATTACTGTCTAGGTACTACACTGACTGTATAATACTGTGTAGGTACAACACTGACTGTGTAATACTGTCTAGGTACTATACTGACTGTAGAACACTGTCTAGGTACTATACTGACTGTATTATACTGTCTAGGTACTACACTGACTTATAATACTGTCTAGGTACAACACTGACTGTATACTACTGTCTAGGTACTACACTGACTGTATACTACTGTCTAGGTACTACACTGACTGTATACTACTGTCTATGTACAACACTGACTGTATACTACTGTCTATGTTCTATACTGACTGTATAACACTGTCTAGGTACTATACTGAATGTATTATACTGTCTAGGTACTATACTGATTGTATAACACTGTCTATGTACAACACTGACTGTATACTACTGTCTAGGTACAACACTGACTGTATAATACTGTCTAGGTACTATACTGAATGTATAATACTGTCTAGGTACTACACTGACTGTATAATACTGTCTAGGTACAACACTGCCTGTATAATACTGTCTAGGTACTATACTGACTGTATAACACTGTCTAGGTACTATACT